TAGAAGAGTTTGGAATTACTTTGTTTTTTCTTATCAATGGTCTTTGTTTTTCTCTGTTGGATTATTTGATTGGGTCTATACAAATATCTAATCCTTTTTTGAGTAAATTCTCGAATTGGCAGTAGCTCTTTGGTTTTATTACTTGGCATTTAAGGAAAGCCAGGAATGCTTTTGTTTTTCAGAATTTTTCTGCTTCTACTCTTTCTAAGATTTGGCAAATTATGCGTGATACTGAGTATACTATTTTGTATTACAGGAACCCTCACCTTCCTTTCCCAGATGTGCCATGGACCAAGCTAGGATTCGCTTGGTTCCTCCTCCAAGAGGTCAGTTCAAATTAAACACAGATGGAGCTGTGTCTTTCAATTCTCCAATTGCTGCCTGTGGTGGCCTTCTCAGGGACTGGAACAGAAATTTTGTGGCTGGTTTCTATTGCTCCTTACCCCTTTGCACTCCCCTTGAAGCTGAACTCTGGGACATCTATTATGGTCTTCAAATATTTTTGAAATATACTGATCAAAACTTATGTTGGTTTGAAACTGATTCTCGTGAAGCTTTGCAATCCATCCAACAAGTTCAGAGTTCTTCTCACCTTTTTTTCCATGTCATATGTAAAATTAGGGATAGTATTAGCCTTGTTAAGTCTATTAGACTGTACCATGTTTTTAGGGGAGCCAACCATTGTGCAGACAAATTGGCTAAATCTGGTCTTAAATTCCTTTCCCTTTTTTTTAGTTTTGAGGAAGCTCCTAGTGATTTGCTTCCCTTTCTGTGTTTAGATTGGTGTGGTGGTTGGACCCCTTGGTCCACCCCTTAGTTTGTTTTGTGTCTTGGGCTCTTTGCCCCCTTTCTTAGCAAAAAAAAAAAAAAAAACTATACCTAATATATATTGTAAATATATAATTAAGATAAACTTTATAAATAAAAATTAAATACATTAATAACAAAAAAATTATATAATAGTCTATGTGTGAAAGTAAACATTTGTCTGCTATATCATATCTTATCATAATTATCATCTTTTCTTCTATCATCAAGTCATAACATCTTCATGAGTTGTGTCTAGAAGTCAGTAACTTTTTTTTCAATATCCTTGATACATTTGCTAAAAAATCAAAATGACTTTTTAAATCATAATTACCATTATCATTTTTATTTATTTCTACCATCACATATTGGTTATCTTAAAAAAAAAAAAACAACATTGTAACAAGGATAATAGGAGAAAGGATAGAGATTATTATAAAAATATGATAGAAAATAATATTTGAGATAAAAATATTGGAGGTGATATCTTGTACTTAGTTTGTTCTATTGTTTGGACTGATTGGTCCCATTTTTTTTTTTAAAAAAAAGACAAATCAAGACATGTAATCTTCTTGAAATGATTCTTTTATGGGCTTCAAGAATCGATATCATGAATTAAAAAATTATAAAACATAATACAAGACTTATTTAAAACATAAATTTTAGTATAGGAACATATATATATATATATATATATATAAAAGGACTAAATTACAAAAAAAATTCTTTATATAGAAAAAAATAATAATTTAAACATGTTATCTTAGATAACTAATTACTATGAAATTTATTATAACATATTATGATGACAAACATAAAATTAAAAAAAAATTGTATAAAAATTAAAATGATCATTTATCTTAAAAAAGACTTAATTTTTTTTTTAGGAATTGATACATGTGTGATTAAGATAATGGACACGTGTCTTGTAAATGTGTATAATTATTTAATTTTACAAATATTTATTAATATTCATGTATAAATTTATTGAGCATGTAATTATATCTATGTATATACATCAATATTTTTAATCAAATATTTTTACAAATATAATATTTAATATTATATTCGTTGTAATTTTTATTTTACATGTAAATTTCAGTACTCGAAGATGATATAATATTTGTATTATTAATCCAATCTTTTACACTTATACTCTATGAGATAAAAATATTACTTTCAGTATCTTCTTTAATTACACGAAATAATAAAATATTAAAAGCAAGACATTTTTTTATAATATTTATTTTATTTATAGGTATGTTTTTCATAATTTTATATTAATTATAATAATTGTGTAAAAGAATTTGTTACCCTCTCTATTCTGATTAATTTGTTTGTATATATTAAATACGAGACGTTATGGACATGCTTAATATAAAACCTCCAAGAAAGTAAAAAAAAAATTAAAAAAATTACAAAATTTTCTTATATCTGAGTTTGGATTCTCGTCGTTTAGGATTTTCTAAATCTATTGTGTAAGGTTTTGTTGTTGTTAGGGCTTTTTAGTTTCTTTAAATAGCACAAAAAAATATGATACGATATTTTTAGATTATTTTTAAAAATATTTTAGAAAGTTTAGAATATATTGAAAAAAACATTTTTAAGAGTTATTTTAAATTTTTTAACGTGAATTATTTGTGAAAATAAATTATAACTCATATAAGTTTTTCCTATTTCATTTAAATATTTTTTATAGCAAAATTGATGAAAAATAAATTATTTTAAATTATATTAGTAAATTGTATTGTTAAAAATATTAAATAAGCATTTAAACAAACTTTGCATTTAAACATATGTTCAACTTTTTTGGTTCATTTATATGTTCTAAGACCTTTTATATTTTATATTGTTAAATTTTCTCTTCTAATAACTGAATTATTACAAAGAAAATATTTAAACAGTAAATAAATAATTTGATATTTTAAAATGTAATATAAATGTTTAATTATATAACAAAGTATTAAATATATTTAAAACTCATATATTGCATTTATATACATTTAATATTAATTAAATTATTTAAAACATTTTTTATATTGAATATTTAATTGATTTAATAGAAGTTAACGAAGAATATTTTCAACAAGTTGGTAGTTATATAACAAATTACTATTTATTAAAAGACTAACCATTCATCAAAACTATATTTAATATATACTATAAAAATATAATAAGGATAAACTTTATAAATAAAATTTAAATACATTAATAACAAAAAAAAAATATATGTATTCTTATACAAAAGTGTATTATTTTTATGTTTTATTATATCTTATTATAATTTTTATATATATTTTTTATTATCGCATCACACAATATGTTGAATTTTGACCATATCTCTCTTGAACCATATTTAAAGTTAAAAATGTTCTTTTTTATTATATTTGATACATTTGTCAAAAAATTATAATCACTTTTTAAATAATAATTATTATCATCATTTTTATTTATTTCTATAACTACAATTTGATTATCTTAAAAAAATATTAGAATAAAGATAATAAGAAAAAACATAGAGATTATTATTAAAATATCATAAAGCAAATAAGTAGTGATATTTAATAAAAAAAATACTAGAGATAATATTTATATAAAAACAAATTAAGACATAAAGTCTTCTTGTGACAATTCTTACATAGGTTTAAAGAAAAAAATATTAGCTTTATGATAAAATTCGATATCATGAATTAAAAAAGACTAATTTATTATATAAAGACTCATATATATATATATATATATATATATATATATATTTATTTATAAGGACTAAATTAAAAAAAAAGACTTCATGTAGAGATTAAAAAATAACTTATGGCATTAAATAATTATTTATCATGTAAAAGAAAGAGTTAATATTATTATAATATATCATAGTGATAAAAATAAAATTGAATTTTTTATATAAAGACTAATTTATAAATTTTTTATTTATAAGAACTAAATTATAAAAAAAAAGGAGACTTATATAAAAATTAAAAGATTTTTATTCAAAAAAAAGACTTGAAAATAATTTTTTATATAAAAGCTAATATATATGTGCTTGTAATAATGGACAAAAGTGTATGTAGTTGTTTACTTTTATAAATATTTATTAATATTTACGTATAAATTTATTAAGGATGTAATATTTTAATAGATATCATCAAATATTTTTACAAATATTATATTTTGTCGTGATTTTTATTTTTACATGTAAGTTTTAATATAATATACAATGATATAATTGTATTATTAATCCAATCTTTTTACACTTATGCAATAGGAGATAAAAATATTACTTTCAATGTATCTTCTTTAATTAAACGATATAAAAAGTATAAAAGCAACACATCTTTTTTTCATAATTTTTATTTTATTTCTAGTCATGTTTTTCTGATTTTTTTATTAACTATAATTACAATATATAGTAATAATTGTGTAAAAGAATTATTTGTATATATTAAATACGAAACATTATTTTTAAATATTTTTTAAAATTCTTTTAAAAAGTTTAGAATATATTACAAAAGAATTTTTTTAAGAGTTATTTTAATTTTTTAAAATGTGAATTATTTTTGAAAATAAAGTAGAACTCTTATAAGTTTTTCTTAACTCATTTAAATAATTTTTATAGCAAAATTTATGAAAATAAAATATTTAAATTTTATTAATAAATTATATTGTTAAAAAAATTAAATAAGCATTTAAACAAACTTTGTATCTAAACATATGTTCAATTTTTTTACTTTATTATAAATTTATTCTATTGATAAAATTAAAAAGAAAAAGTTTAAAAAATATCAACTGCATAAAATTACGACACAAGTAAATTTTCATCAAGCATGTACTAACTTTTTATGATAGATAATATATTACCTACATGAATATGAGATGGAAACAAGTGCACAAGTTATTTATGAAAATTCATATAAAGTTTATTTAATAACAAAGATTAGTTAATATTTTTTCTTATATTTTTATATCTATATTTTTTATTTATCAAAATCCATAACAAATTTTGTCTCCTTCTCCTGTCTGTGTGTTGTTACAGCCAATTAAAACAGCCCGAAATTGGGTGTGAAAAGTGTGATTGAGACCGATAACATCGGTGGTAAGTGGTAAGAAAGAAAAAGGGTAAAAAAGTGAGCGATAATCGGGTACCCACCCGAATCCGACAAGCTAATCTTGAGTCTCTAAAGCCCTAAAACCCTACACCGATTCAACTCATTGACTCTTCCCCCACCGTAAAAGCTCTACACCCGTTGGTTGCAAGGTGTGCTACACGTCTCTTCAACTTCGATGCTTTTCTAGTTGAACGGTTTTTTCCTTTCTCTTCCGGTTATTTGCATCTAGTGTTAGGGTTTTTGAAGCTTGTTCCTATTCCTAGTTGAAGGACCCTACATTTTGGTCACAGATTCCGTTACCCAAGATTTATTGTTGTGCAATTTCTATCTCTGTAATTGTATTTCTTACTTGTGCTACTTTATGCTAACTCAATCTGCATTATTTGATCTACTTCTCAATGCTTCATTGAGATTTGTTAATGTTGGCAGATGAATTTTAACAACGTGAAGGTTCCAAAGGTTCCTGGTGGTGGAGTCTCTGCTTTGCTTAAAGTTAGCATTATTGGTGGTCTTGCTGTATATGGGGCTGCAAACAGCTTGTACAATGTTGATGGAGGTCATCGAGCCATTGTTTTCAATCGTATAGTTGGTGTCAAGGATAAGGTTATTCCATTGTCCATGGCTGTTAAATGAAATCACTTTTCTCATTGTGTTTAGTTGTTTTTGCGAACAAGGTAACTCTTCTCCTAAAAGAGCATAAAGTGGTAACCCTCTCATTTATTTAATCATATTCTTGTGTCTATGTTTTTTGTGTTACACACTAGCCATTAATTAGTATGCGAGTCAGTATAAGGTTCTTGTAGTGGTATATTAATATGATATGTCTCTTCTATGCAGGTCTATCCCGAAGGGACACATATTATGATTCCATGGTTTGAGAGGCCTGTGATCTATGATGTTCGTGCACGGCCTCATTTAGTGGAGAGTACTTCTGGGAGCCGTGATCTGCAAATGGTAAGTCTTTTGGCTTGTTTTGCTTATTAGAATTTTAAGATTTGATCTTGTAGCATGCGTCAATTTGTGGCTCTGACTGTGAGGAGTCAAACAGGTTATTTGCTATCATTTTTCTGTTCGTATTTGTTATAGCAACATGTTTTTTGCGTTGTTGGGGTAAATCAAAAAGTAGGGTAGAGCTTTTCCTTCACATTTCTGAACTTCGCTCTCCTTTACCCTTTAATCCGTTGCGGCTTACTGGTGCTCATTGCTAGTATTAGAATAATGCTATGTCATGATTGTATGTAAATCTTGCCTCCTCCTGTATGATCTGTTGACTTTTGAAGTAAGGGTTTTGTCTTCTGTTGTTGCTCATTGCTGGTTTATGTCTCAGTCACCTAATCTCAACTCTTAAGTTGTTATTATATTGCACCCCACTTCCTCCTTCCATTTTGTGCACTTTGCTTAGATTGCTTATATTTGAACCATTACAATTTATTAGTCATGATATTTTAGATTTTTTACAGTAACTGTTTATACTGATTTATTAGGATTCATGCGAATGTATTCAGTGCTTGCACTATTTAGTGTGTGGTCAATTCTTTCAGTCTTTTTATCACTGTTTACTATTTGATGAGCATAAATTTGTACTACAAATTCCATGTAATATGGATCTATTTTTGCTAGGTGAAAATTGGACTTAGAGTCCTTACCCGTCCTGTTCCAGATCAATTACCAACAATTTATCGAACCCTGGGTGAGAATTATAATGAAAGGGTCCTGCCTTCTATTATACATGAAACTCTGAAAGCAGTAGTTGCACAGTATAATGCCAGTCAGCTCATTACTCAGAGAGAGGTAAATATTTATGTAGACTCTAGTACTCTACCCCATCTTCTGTCCAACTCGTATGTGCACCAATTTTATGTTTGCCTTTTGACATCTCGTTTGGAATTTTTATTCGAAGGAATCAAGTAGACTTTTTTAGATGAGAATTTAAAATGAAATTACAACCCTACAGTTGAGACTGATTATTTCTAAATTATTCCATTTTACAGGCTGTTAGTCGAGAAATAAGGAAGATATTGACTGAAAGGGCCTCCAATTTTAATCTTGCATTGGATGATGTGTCAATCACCAGTTTGACGTTTGGGAGGGAATTTACAGCTGCTATTGAAGCCAAGCAGGTTGCTGCTCAAGAAGCTGAGAGAGCTAAATTTGTTGTAGAAAAAGCTGAACAAGACAAAAGAAGTGCTGTTATTAGAGCACAGGTAAAGTAATTGTCCCATATTTCCGTTTAAGATGGTTGTTAATGTTTCTAGAAGTGGTTGCCATGCTCTCATTTTTTCAGAATTGCTATCAAACCATACAAAATAAAAATTAAAAGAATTGAAAGGATTAGCAAAGAAAGGTATTTTCTGATTGTCCTGTTCGAGTGATATATTTACTCTTGGTATCAAACTGTTTCCATATAACTAGTTTTGAACTTCATCAACACTAAACAAATATTAATGAATTTTCTTCTACTCCCAGCCACCAACTTTTGAATGGTCCTGTATGGTGACTGGCGATTTGTGGATTTTTTTTTCTACAAAATAATACAGAGGGCTGCTCTTACGATGCTTTGTTGTTTATATACGCATAAACAACTCCTTCCTACTTTTTGACAAACAGGGTGAAGCCAAGAGTGCCCAGTTGATTGGTCAAGCTATTGCCAATAATCCTGCTTTTATCACCTTAAGGAAAATTGAAGCTGCAAGGGAAATTGCTCAAACGATTTCAAATTCTGCCAACAAGGTTTACTTGAATTCAGGTGATCTCTTACTGAATCTTCAGGAATTAAATTTGGAGCCCAGCGGGAAGAGATAGTTGTGAGGTTGAATTCACTCAAGTATTTCAACCTCTTTCCTAGTATCTTCATTCATTTTCACCTGCATGTGCGTTCTATCAAACGTTCAAATATGGTAGTCAGCGTTACAGTCAGAAATGTTGACGAACTGATGGTCATTATCGTTAAATGGAGCATGTGAGATAAACGAGATTCAATTAAGTTTTATCCGATTTCTGTACTTCTGTTCTTGAATAGTCTCTGTCGTTGTCGGATGTCAAGTTTTTGATATTGATTTATTGTGGCACAGTGATCTTGTTTTTATCTTCCGCTGTTGATTGATTTGTTAGTCTATACTGCCATAACCCATAAGTTGCATCCCTGCCATCCGCTGTGGTGCCATCTTCCCCATTGAAATAGTAATTATTATTTGGACAAAATTATGGCAAATCGTTTTATTAACAGTTTCTGTCGAAAACTTGTGGCACAAACACAATGGATGAGAACGAACCCAAAAAATAAAGGAAAACAAAATTGTAGGGGCTGGTCGATTGAGTTCTACTTTATATATATTAATTATAAACTGGTTTTAGAAAACTGTTTTGCATAACTATTTTTATAAAAATGTATTTGAGAAAAAAAAATGTTTGATTTCACATTTTTAAAATTCAATAGTAAAATGAATAAAAACGGTAACAATATTTGAGTTTTTGATTTTTTTAGAATATAAAACAAATGAAATGTTAATTTTTTCTATGATTAAAAACATTTTTATGGACACTTATCAAATGCGTCCATGTTAATTCTTTTTTTTTTCCTTCTGCTGAGCGTTGAATTTCTCTTCTAAATTTCAGGTGAGACTTAATTTAATATTATACCCTTTAAGAGGTTTTTCATTTTTATTTGTATCCAGTGCAAAACTACAAATTATATTGAATTTAGTTACATAGTAATTACAATATAATTATGATAATTATATTTTATATAAGACACCAGAGTGTTTTAATGGTTGGGAGATGTAATTTCAAAAAAATTGCAGATAACCGATTTTTTTTTTCTCTCAAATCTCTATTGGCCACATTCTAATGGCCTTTTCTTTTTTGCAAGTTGAGTATGAGCTTTTGGCGAACAGTCTCTGGCATCGGTGTAGCCACCACCGTCCATAAATATTACCCTAAACCCTAAATTTAAAATAATCGAGAACAGTATTTGTCTAAACAAATGATAACTAAATTGCATATCGATTACTAGTTAAAACAATCTAATTTTAAGGAAATTTTATTTATTTTGATAAATTTATCTATTATATCTTCATTTAATTAATTTTCCTTCTAATTTCTATTGGTCTCATTTATGCATTTATTTCACACCGGCTTCACGGGAGTGGGAAGTTGAAACTTGATCAATCAAAATTAACGTGGTGTGAGAAGGGGAGAAGCGTAGGTGAAAGGGATGGTGGATATGTTCTTCTGGAGGGAAAGCAATCTCCCGAACCTCCTTCAAAGCCATTCCAATCTACTACTTCTTTCTGGCCCTCCTTCTTCGTACTTCCTCTCTCTCTCTCTCTCTCTCTGAATACATGATTTGTTTGAATTCTTATGATTACGTTAATGAAATGTACAGTGGGAAGACTTCTCTGCTTTTCCAATTCGCATTCAATGTAGCACAATCTTCTAACTCTTCCAGTCCCAATCCAAGCGTCATTTTCATCTGCATCCGCCACAGGTTGGATTCCAAACCCCCTTTTCTTTCTCAGGTATCTTCTCTTCCTCTCTCTCTCTCTTACCTTCCCATCATTCATTCTTTCCCTTTTTGAAACCCCACTTTATGTTTTCAGGGCATTGACCCATCTTCCCATGTCTTCCACCGCATACAAATGAAGTATCACCCATCATAACCCTTGCTTCTACCGTTCACTACTAATATGTGATCCACTCTCATGTGCAAATAATTTTCCTTCTTGTTTGATTGAGGTACGTGAATGACGATGAAGACATTAGGAAGTACTTTGCTGCCTTCCATCTGTATGATACATTGCCTGCAGCAGTTGTTATTGATGATTTCGGAGATTTCTTTACCAACAAGTAATCTTGGTCCCTGCTCTTTACAAACACACCATCCACCCTTTCTATAACTACTTATGCGTTTTCATTTCATCTTTTTATCTTAAAAGTACATGCCAACAACGATATTCCAACCCCCGCGGTCGAGACATGGCCATGGTCAAGAGTCTAGCCTTGTGCCATAACGCAATTACTTTTGCAAAGTAAGCATGCATTGCTGTTATTGAGCAATTAATTAGATGCACGGCTTATTTAAGCGCTTGTAAATGAAACTCTTTAAACGATGACTTATATTATAAATTTAATTATGAAATTTACTGAGTTAAACGAAAAACAATTTATTTTTATAAGTTATACTAAGAAGTTTATTAAAATAAGTTATAAATATTTTATGAGAGTTATAAACTAGTTTTATTAGTAGACCATTCTCATAAACTCTTCCAAATATGCCCTAAGGCTGTTTAACTTTAGAACTTACATAATGGTAGTAAAGCACCCTTTCTATATTCTCTGGCAGTCAAAAAGGGTCTTGCAAGCTTCTCTTATCAGATACTCATACTCACCAAGGAGACTCCCCAAGATTTCACTTCATCTACAAGAGATGGATACACACCATTTTTACCATTAAAGGTTAGTAACCTTATCTACTAGTGGATTCCATACCAAGTATTCAAATAGATTGTGCTCTTTGTTGTCATATTTATTAGTTGTCGTAGCATCTGATATTGCAGAGGGGGATGTATCTGGATCATTTATTCTGAAAGATAGGAGCAATTCACGAATCCATAACACAGGTACGAATAAAGCTGCAAAATACTCCATAGCTCTTCAATATCTGGTCTTTGATGGAATTGTAGAAGATCAAGTAGAATAGAGATATATACCCCTTCCCTTTGGTCTGGTTGATTCATGTAACAGTGCATATATTCTCTTGTTCCATTAACAATATTATAACTATAATGACTCGATTGTTGTATATCAAGTTTTCACAACTCACAAGCCATATTTCAACACGTCTTTCTTTCCCCTGAAATAGAACTCGTCAAATTTAAACTCCAATTTATTAAAGTATTTTAAGTTATAATTATTTATTGATGTGTTCAAAAAATTTAAATAGAACTATATGGATTAAGCTGTAAAGAATCACCGGTAAGTTACATTAAAAAATAATAATCACTGCAAAGTATAATTTAAAAATAATGAAGAATCACCGTAAAGTAGATTTACGACAAATATTTTAGTAATTGAATTGCGTAAATACGTTATTTCCAATAAAGAGGAAAATTATTGTAATAAAACTATAAAAGGAGGATTACTCGTAATTATTCAATAAAATGCATGCATGTTTGTCATAATTGTTGTAACATAACATTGGATAGCCATTTTTTGTGTGAAAATTATTGTAAAGTTAACTAGTAACAGCTTTCACCGACGCCGAGGACAAATGTAAGTCAGGGTGCCTCTGGCGAAATCTTTTTTAAACATGTATCTGACATAATAAAACATTATCAATAATACTATTTTGTTAAAAATTATATCATTTAAAATTATTAATATATTAAACATTATTTTTAATAAAAATATTTTATATATATATATATATATATATATATATATATATATATATTACTTTTACACACGGAAAAATAAATTGGTCTTCTAATCCAAGCATACATACCGATCTCCGTAGCATACTAACATATTATGATTTCATCGGTGTGAGAATTAGATAGCAATTCTAGTGGGAGTACAAAATTTATTAAGTTAAATTAATTAAAATTTTAAAATATATCAAAATAGTAATTAAAAACAATAATTTGTTGAAGTTATTTTAATATTATCGTAAACTAGGAAATTTATTTTAATGTACAGTTTCATTCATCAATACTCTTCCAAGCATCTCCATTATTGAGGATCACACAAGCAATTTATTTATCAGTTTTTATTTACATGTTGTCAGTGAGAATTATAACTAATAGCTAACTGTGTAGTTAACTTGGCCAAAAATCTCTAACCTTGGTATTGCAATATTTTCAGGAGGTATAAAGTAAAAATTTCTTTATGTGATTTTAATCATTTGAACTTTCAGCTATCATTAAATTTGGAATCGACGGTGTTATTGACACTTACCAAACATCTATAGAAATTTCACAGCGTGATTGCTTATCTTTTCTTTTTTACTATCTTTCTCTTGTGATTAAAGTGAAATAATGTGATAAATTTAGTATGTGAAAAGTATGTATTCTTGTTATTTTTAGCAACTTTTCTCATTTGAAAAAGCATATGTTACTTCCAACAAAATCCTATACACAAGTATCTGACAAATGCCAATCCCCATTTTTTCTGATGTATTCCTTCAAATAGATGACTCATCCTTGCCTCCACGTGTCATCATCTCATTCTCTTAAAGTGTCACAAAAAACAAGCAATTTTGCCAAACTTTACCGACCTTGCGTCCTTGTCCAAGAACAATTTTTTCTTTTCCAGCTAGAAAAGTAAGCCAGGCAGAATACAACACACTATTGAAGCAGGTTCTTTTAACAAATTACACTCTTTTTTTTCTCTACTCGTATTATACCTGTATTTGCCTTATTAGACGAGGTTTAAAGAAAACAAATCTTATCTAATGAAATCTAATTTAATGAAGAAAATTAAATTCTACTAAATGAAATCCGATCTCATGACAATTGCATAAACTATGATTTAAATGTAAGCTAGCTTTTCATTAAATAATACGATATGTTAAGCTGACATTCTTTTATTGAAATTATAATTATTTTTTAATTTCCTTAACAGTTATTTTATAAATTATTTAACTTAAAATGCGTTTGATAAACAATTTAATTTAAAGGAAAATATAAGATTATACAAAAGAAAGGCGGGACAGGTTGGATATTAATTTTCATCTACACCAAAGATGAGAACGAATTTAGGAGCAGATTTGGTAATGTAAGAGTGAAGACAGGAAGAGCAAAACTCACCTCCATTTTAACTATGTCAAAATAAAACAAAAACTTTTAAAATTTTATTTAAAGAAAAAATAGAAAAAGAAATTTTTATCTACATTTTCTCTCTATTTTCTTTACACTCGTCAAAACGTAGCAGTACCCTCTTTTCATTCCGAATCAAATCTGTCTTGATTATTCCTCTTTACAAATGTTTTTGTGTATATTTGAACCTCAAAATTGTAGGAATTTTTATATTCCAGAATAATATATATCTTTGCCTTATACTATTTTGTGTTCAAAGTTGATATTTATTAATTTGACAACAAAATTGCTAATTAATTCACTTTATACGATTTATGTAAGTAAGGTGTTTCCTCGTTTACCCAAAAAAAAAAAATGTGAATAAGGACGAGGTAAGTCTCTCTCCTACTTTATTAGAAGTTCGTATGTAAAGAGTACCACACGTACAGATGTACTACTCAGACAATAATGTAATTCGTGACATTCTACAAATATATTACGAAAATATAAACATGTAAAATAAAAGACCATAATAATAATACTGTGAAAATATATTAAAAAACCTCATTCTCAAGCTTCTTGACAATTGAAGTTAAACTTACTAGTCACTGAAATTAGTCAAATTACTCTTCATTACTAAATTATCTATTAATATTATTAATTTTATATTCAATAAAGAATTGTAAATTAAATCAAAAGAGTTTATTTTTCTGATCAATGTATTTCAGTTATATTACTGTAATAATAATATATTAAAAGAAACTGATTTTCTGAGTCTAAAGTTATTCAAGATTTGCAACACATTTCTTCCTCACTAATTAATTTAATGAGTTTGTGATATTAAAACATGGTTGAAAGATAATGACAGTAAATTGAAATTAGATTAAGCTTAAGTTAGCAATCAAGTATGACATTAGCACAGATGGTTAAAAGTTTTTAAAAAATGATAAAATAAAACTAAGCTTCAAAAGAAAACAAACACCCCATAATATTAATAATTGTGAGTAAAATAGGGAAATAGTGTGATCACAAAAAATGGCAATAATTATCATGAGAAAAGCATATCAACAAAATTGCAAACAAATAAATTAACGAATAAAACGGAAGGTCACTACATCACACCCGGTCAGTTCCTTGAAGAAAACGCATCCTCTTTTGGTTTGGGTTCGGAGTGAGGTTCGGTTTGGACTTTGAAGAACAAGAAGATAATAAGCACTTGCTTCGCTTTACCCTCTGTACCCTCCATCACCCGCCACTACAAAAGTGTAGCCCCACTTCCAAGTTCCAACCTTTTTCCTTCTCTCTCAACTCAGCTAATTCCATAGTTGAAGAAAGTTCTCTTTTTTGTTCTTCTTTCTGCCTCCAAATTATCACTGAATTGCTAAGATAGAGGAAGAGAATCAAAATACCCCACCATAAGAGAAAACCAAAACCCAAACCCAAAGGAACACCAACAACAATCATGGTTAGTAATAATACCCAACAATCAATGCAAATATGAACTATCCAACCACCCTTTTACATATACAACACATGGGGTTCTCTCTCTCTTTTTTTATTTAGTCTTCAATCAACCATGTTGATGTTTATTTTTGTTTCTGAATTCTTGTCTTTAATTATTTACCAATTGACAATTATGCGTTTTTTTTTTTTTTTTTTTTTTGATACTGGGTGTGTGGGATCAGGGAGGTGGAGGAGGTGCAGTTGGGGTGGGAGGTTTCAATGAAGAAGAAGGTGTTATGGGAGAAAAGGAAGAAGAAAACAAGTGGCCACCATGGCTGCAGCCACTTCTGAAGACAAGTTTCTTTGTTCAATGCAAAGTCCACGCGGATTCCCACAAGAGTGAATGCAATATGTATTGCTTGGACTGTATGAATGGAGCCCTTTGCTCAGCATGTCTGGCTTCCCACAAAGAACACAGAACAATTCAGGTATGAGATTTACCTAAAAAAATTTGTAAACGAATTGTGTTTTGGGGGATCTATAACCCAACTTTATTCAATTCTGTGGGGATTTGAACCCAAACGGTCAAAAATCAAAGATTTGGGTTTTTCAATCTGATAGTGTAGAGTGTTCCTACATTGTTTAGACTTAGGATCCAATCCCTTTTGATAGGTCCTAAAATTACGTCCCTTGTATCGGTTACACGTGCCATTCAATGCTGAATTTTGCAAACTTGTCAGAGTGAAGTTGCAAATTTGCACTTTGATTTTTTTCTTTCATTTGAAAAATTATTTATCACCCAAGTATATTGTCCCTTTGTTCTCCTTAGATGGCAAAATTTTATTTATTTTATGAATTTTGCTATTTTCTTTCGGCAAGAATAAATGATATGGTTATTAACATCTAATGAAGATTTTTTATTTTCTTTTAAATTTCATTAATTTTCAAAGATAAGGAGGTCTTCATACCATGATGTGATAAGGGTGTCTGAGATACAGAAATTTATGGACATAACAGGGGTCCAAACTTACATTATAAACAGTGCCAAGATCGTGTTCTTGAATGAAAGGCCTCAACCTAGGCCTGGAAAAGGGGTCACCAACACCTGCCAAGTCTGTGAGCGCAGCCTCCTTGATTCCTTCAGCTTCTGCTCTCTTGGTTGTAAGGTATATATATAGAGATAAGCCCAAATTTGGATACCTTAACTACATCTCTGAATTAGATTAATTGTAACAAAAAATGATAAGCTGATTTTCTATATTTTTTGGAATGTTGAATGTAAAGTAAAACCTTTGTATATTGTAACTGCCTCCTACTTTTTTTCTGTATAAAGTGTGTAACATTATAGTTGTACTTTTTATGTTTGCTTTGAAAAAGTAAGAAAAATGATGATGAGAATAGTTGGATACGAGTGAGCTCTTCAACTTTTGAATTTTCTTATCAGATTGTTGGAACCTCCAAGAAGTTCCGGAAGAAGAAAATGTTAGGTGAGACAGATGGGTCTGATGGTGAAGAATCAGTTAATGGCTTTAGCATTGGAAGTGCCAGAAACAAATTGCATAGCTTTACACCTTCAACACCACCACCAACAGTGGCGAATTACAGAACTGCCAAGAGAAGGAAAGGAATTCCACATAGATCTCCAATGGGGGGAGGGCTTATTATAGAATACTAATGTTATATAGTGGTTTTCAGTCACTTACCAATCAATATTTATACCAAAAAGATACAGCAGTTGTTGCCACTTCCTTAAGTGGTGTCCTCAGAAAATGTGCTTCATATTTTACGTAGTTGCAATACCCGAGCCCTGTTCACTGAGGCCGGTGTTGGTAACTACTGCTTTATCTTTGTATAGGACAAAAAAATAGGAAGCAAATATCAAAAAGGAAAAAGAAAAATATTATGTGTCAAAAAGCAAGTAATAATATAACATAGAGTGGGGAGTAGTACTTTATGTTGGTGTAAGAATGGCATTCATGTGCTGGTTTGTGATGCTAAAATGTATATAGTGGTTTGTAGAAAGGAATTGTATAGCATCAAATTAGACAATAAAAAAGAAAAGTTATGATGAGTATTAATTATATTCTCTTGGTGTGGTATGTGACCATGTCTTTGTCCTTTCAATGTCTAAAGTATATCTTGTTTGTTTGGTGGACGAGTGGTTTAAACTTTAAAGTGCGAAATTTAATTGCCATTTGTTTCTCTTTTCTGCTTTTGGAGCTTGGTCTTTTTATGAAAACAATATAGTGGTTGCTGGTTCGTGTAATGCACATAGGAACACACAAAGTGTATCAAAGTAGTTGTTTTCTTAACGACTTCGTTCAATCTAACTCCAAATCTTCCTAGTAAATCTCTTTCCCATGTTAGGTTTCCTGTTTTTAGCAATGTTACATTTCTATTTTATTGTCTACAATGAGGGTCAAATATTTAGTTAACATGTTGTAATTAATTTAATGAAGTTATGAGACATGCAAAAGATTGTCTATTTTCATGAAACCCTTTGTCATAATATCTCCCATTGAAAATGAGAACAAAGAACTGCACATGCGTGTAAATTTCATGCCAATATCTTTGCTTTCGATTGATTCACTACTTTATGAGATTCTCTCGCCGAAATAGCAAGATGCCCGTATCAAAACTGCTTCAATATATATCACATAATTCATAAAGTGACACGTGGTGAATACGTACTATCATCATTGCCATTCAAGAAAAATATAAAGACTTTGATATTTTTAAAGTAAAGGATGTATTTATAATGTGTTTAAACTTTAAACAAAGTAAAATTTTATTATTTTATAAGCATATTTTTAAAATATCGTACGTATGATCCATCCTTTTTTATTTTTCTAGAGAGGGTTCTTTTATATTAAGCAGAATATGCTGCCGAATGAAATAAAATGAACATTATTTTTCATTACATTTAATTATATATGTTTTATAAATCATTAAATACTTTAATAATTTAATATTCATTATAAGTTTAAATTAAATCTGAACCATAGAATCTTGATATGTTGTCTCCATTTTTTTTTACTTAAATTAAATTAAAATTTAAAATGATTATAATGTTAATTAATTTTAGTTTTTAACCCATTATACTGTTAGATATGATGCGTTTTCATTTAAAATACCGTATATATAATGCTTGTTTGTATGATCTGATTGCAAATAAGTTTACAAACATAAATGTCAGCAAAATGAATGTCAAATTATCCTGAGATTTGATTAATGTTTATATTTAAAAATAGTAAATATAGATTATTTTACATATGCACTATTTGATACAGTTGGTCTCATTTTATGTATTTAAAATATTTATATTTTGATATTATGCTGTAACAAAGCATGGACATGGAAGAAGCAGTGTTAAATTATGAATAAGAATATATTGGGAGGAAATATTTTATACTTGACATGAAAAAAAGCTATGGAGTATGAATTATTGAAGCTGTGATGGAGATGTTGACGTCTAAAATGTCGTTTTATTTGTGTGGAAAATCTTACCGGTAATACCGGTATGGGAAGCTAATCTACGATCTGGCATCCTAGTCCTACGTGGAATGTTACCCCACCACATACATGCCGCGCCGTGTTAGAATTTCTCATTAATTTTGGAACATGTACAAAGGTTAAATTCAACTTCCGACTTGAGTTTAAACAATTAGTAATAATAATAACTTATTTAAAGATATTTATCAATTTTTTTCTTATTTTAATAAAATAAATATATTTTTAAATAAAATATATTATTTTTGATAGAGAAAAATAAATAAATAAACAAAAAATAAATAAAAACTTACGATATTAAATATGAAACTTCCTTATCATCAGTTTGAATAAATAATCTTAGTAGGAGATAAGACTTAAACTTTGAAATCATAATTTGAAAAAAAAATTAGATTAGCTAAAAAATATGTTGATGTATTGTTTTTACACAGAATGTGTTTAGTGATTTGTCAAATAAAATTATCATAAACTAAATTCTTATTTTGTTTCCTCAGATAGTTAGTATCAGTCATCAGACATTTTAGTTCTTGAAATATTAAAACTGTAATGGTAGCATGATAGGAAGTGGTCTTCCCTATGTCTATTACGGTTTTTTACTTTTAAAAAGAAAAAAATAATATGAATGGAGGTGGTCCCCTTTTTTGCATAGTTTTACCCGTTCCCCACATTTGCCTGCATTATTTTAATTATTTATTCGTTTGTATACTTTAAAAATATTTATGTGTTGTTAACTTATTTGACAATTTTGTCTCTATCAGTACAAACAATATTGTTTTACATTCACCATGGAGACAATTTTATGGAATAAAATGGGAATTAGGGCTAAACCAAAAATCTAATTTTATAAGTTCAATCTATAACTAATATTAAATTAGTTTTAAAAATTTAGATCTTTATTAAACTGATTTTTTTTATTAACTATATTTGTATAACCGATTTAGTGTCTAAATCCATGTTTTAAAACTGAATGTTTTTTATTTATACAAATCCATATGTATGACGATACTACCTTATATTTTTACTTATTAAATCTCTGCACTATATCAGCTTATAAAATTTTATTGTAACTACGTTTTATCACTAATATTTTTCATTAATCTTAATTCTTATAATTAAAATTAAATATTTAAAATAATATTTTTAAAATATTATTATTATATTAAAGATATTAAAATATAAAAAATATTTTTAAATTAATTACTACTACTATTTTTATATTTATGTTTATTTTTTAATTTTTAAATATTATAATATAATAATTCTATTATTATTTATATTATTATTTTTTATTTTGTAGGTTTTAATTTAAACTTTCATCATCCACTTTGTTTATTAAAAATAAGTTAAAAATAATAGTAAATATTTTATAAATTTCTATAAAATATAATAAATATTGCGAAAATCTTTGTGAAACATACTAATTTAATGCAATGTTGTGTACAACAAATTAATTTTACCTTAAAAACAAAATTTACAAATGTATTGAGAATCAATTTTGCGTTAAAAATTAAATTTAAAACTACTTTTAACAAAAATTAAATTTAAAATAAATTTTAAACTAAATTTAAATTTCAAAACTATTTGTAAATCGATTAAAAAATAAAATAAAATAGTTTAAAATTTAATTTATGTAATTAATTTATGTAATAGATAGATGATAAAAAGTAAAATATATCTAAATATTTATTAGTTTAATAAAATATAAAAATAAAAAATATATTATTAATAAATTAAAATATATATAAATATTCTCTTGACATGTATTGTTAATTCTCTTCATAGATATAATGGATTAGAGTACCCCTTGTACGCATATTTTAACTTTAATAAAATGTTGATACTTAATATATGTATATGTATATATATATATATATATGTGTGTGTGTGTGTGTGTGCAAATATAATGTATGTTATATTGGTTATTATAAAATTTAAATATTTTTTAATATAATAATTTAATAATAATATAAAAATACTTATAATATATTTTTACCAGATTTAAAATCAGTTTTAAACCAAATTTAAATTTTAAAACTAAATTTAAACCGGTTTTTAAAAAAATTAAAATGGATTAGTTTATAATCCAATTCATATAATTGGATTTTAAATGGATCTAGATTAATTTTTTAGAAATTCAATCCATGCACACCCCTAATAGAAATAGGAAGGAGTACAAGTAGGATAAAGTTGAAATTTTACTTGATATTGATAAAGACATGATAAATATTTTTAGTTTTATAAACTTTAATAAGGTAATGGAGTATAATGGGATACAAAAAATTTTCTGGTTAGATTTTGCTAAAGAGTTTAAAGAAGGTTTAAATCCATTGAAATATGATATTGGTGTGTTGGATATAGTGGTTGTTGCTAAGAGAAATAAAGGGAAGATGCATGTATATTATGATGCATGTATATTTAGGATACCCAAAGAACAATCTTCTAGAATTAGCTTTTGTTTGTGAAATTTTAACAATTGCTCTCAACCCACAATAGCAAGCCTTACTATTTTATCTCCTATTTTGTTGCAGTGATGATTTTGAAGATGAACTTATGAGCGGGCTTCTATTACTATTACTAGCCATTTAAAGTACTGGGAATCCAAATAGTGGAAGAAAGAAAGAAACCTTAATAGTGAAAAAGAAGAACCCTAATAGTTGAAGAAATTAGAGCCATAAAGGCAATAGAAAGGGACTAAATTGTTTAGACAATTATGACACAATTTTTTTATTTCCTAAAATGACACCATATATGCCAACTGAGCTATCATGTAACACCCTGAATTTAGTCATAATACTTTCATTATTGATGTAAGTATGCATATTGAACTGTGTGGTGATGTGGATGTGTGTGTGTGTGTATTTGTGTGTGTGTGTGTGTATCAGTGTGTATAAATAAATATGTGTGAGTATTGACTTGGATTGGCTGAGATTGATTGAGAATATAGGATGGAGGTAAAACTACAGGGCAGTCTCGCTGTAGCGAGAAGGCCCTAGGAGGAAGGCATGAGATTGTCGCCTTCTCGTTATAGCGAGAGAGCGATAATGAGGAATGCAATTTTGGATGCAATCTCACTGTAGCAAGATTCTGCAGAAATCAGGATGCAGCTTCCTCTGAGATTTTTGCTGTAGCGAGCATGTCGCGATTAGAGAGATATTTGAAGGGTTTAGGGTTCAAAAAATTCATTTCTCATCCATCTCTTTGAAATATTTTTGATTCTCTCTACTCCCAACCTGTTCTTACCAATTAAATTTCCTCTAAAGCCATTTTGAAGCTAGATTGGAGGTTGAAATCGAGTTTGGAACGTTTGGAGGTAAGTATTGTGAGTTAGGATTTTTAGTTTTCATTCTTTCTTCATTCCTCGTGATTTCTCATGGATTATTCCATGTGTTTAGGGCGAGAATCTATGTTGGGGAGTGTTTCTACCGTTTATTTCATGAAGGGTCTTCATTTCAACGTAAGAAGAGTTAATCCCAAACCCTAATCTCTCTTGGGTAGTTTAAAATGAGAAACCCTTAACTATTTTGATAACTATCTAAAGGTAATTTGTAATAAAGGTTGTAAATAAAACTATTTTTGAAGGAATACTACGATTTCAGTAAACAAA